TTTTTTTTTTTTTTTGGACGAAAGGAAGAAGAAGGAAAAGAAAAAGAATGGGAAAGAAAAAGACACACGATCTTATCAACTCTCAATGAAAGCACCAGAGATGAAGATCGCATGTCCCGACTGCCGATAAGCCACAAACCAGTGCCTTGAATCGTCGATAGTTGCCTAGAGGTTCACAAACCGCACCCCTCTAAACGAATATAATTGCAATAGGATTTTGGTGAAAAAACTAAAGCAAAGAGAATGAACAAAAGTTCTTGATTTCTATTAATTCTTGGATGATGAAAAATAACATAGGGGAAGGGCCTTTATATAGGCACAAACTAGATCTAATCCTAATATAACTATAACTCTAATAAAGCAATAAAATATTAAGTAACCTAAACAATCTAGATATTATAAAGCAATAAGGAAAATAAATATCTAGTAGAATCCTAATAAATTAGAAGGTCATGATCTCCAAGTTACTTGCACACCACTCCAATCGGCCGCCCTAAGCTCACCGCCTCGACGCCTTGTCCCGCACGACGCGTCGCCCTTGTCTTGCCTAGTCCCGCGCGGACTAGGCTTCGTTCGCCCGCTCCGTACGCGCCATGTGGTCTCGCACACCCAGCATCCGCCGCCTTCCTCCCGCGCGTGCGCGCCTGCCTCTCCTATGCTCGCGCCACTTAGGACGTCCGTGCTTGCGTCGCACTCGCGCGCTAGTGCGCGCACTTTCTGCCGCCCGATCTCCTCGCGTGTGTGTAGCCGTGCGCCCGGCTTTCCTATGCGGGCAAGGACTCCGCCCGCTTGTACGTCACCCGTACTTCCATTGCGCCCAGCGCCTCCGCTGTCCCACGCCAGCGCATCCCGGCCACCTTCGCGCATGCTACGCACGTGTACGCCCAATGCCTGCGCATCACCACCCGATGCGCGCCTCTCGCCAATTCGCCTATTGGCCATGCCCGACCAATCTTCACATTCTCCAGGCTCGATTACCACTTCCGTATCAAGCTGGTCCAACAGATCATCCAATCGGGGAATCGGGAAGCGGTAACGAACAGTGATTTTGTTGATGGCCCGGCTATCCACGCATATACGCCATGAGCTATCCTTCTTCGGTATCAACAACGCCGGAACGGCACACGGGCTCAGACTACGCCTGACGACCCCACGCTGTAAAAGTTCATCGACCTGGCGCCGCAGCTCTTCATGCTCTGCCGGACTCATACGGTAATGTGGACGATTCGGAAGGGCTGCTCCGGGCACCAGATCAATGTGATGTTGTATATCCCGTAGAGGCGGTAACCCAGATGGCAATTCGGACGGAAACACATTCGAGAATTCCTCCAATAATGGTCGAATGGCTGCCGGTGGTGATCGCTCGGAGGACGGGTCAGAGCCCAACAATAAGAGGACAAATGGGGCCTCGCGCATTTCATCAACAAAAGCGGCGCGCGAGAGGAATAAGATCGTAGATGGAGGCTGATGAGGCAAAGCCCGGGGAGGAGCCGGATGCAAGACAATCTTAATACCCTGAAAACTGAAAGTATAGGTGTTAAGATGGCCGTCATGAGTAGCAGGCCGATCAAACTGCCAGGGTCGACCCAAAAGAAAATGACAGGCGTCCATGGGGACATCATCGCACCAAACCTTATCCCGATAAGAAGCACCAATAGTGAAAGAGACGAGCACGCGGCGATTAACGGGGACCGAATTGCCGCGTTGTATCCAAGCCAAAGTATAGGGGCGCGGGTGCGGCTCGCTCGTCAACCGAAGCTTCTCCACAGCCTCCTGGGCAACCACATTCTCGCACCACCCCGAATCAATAATAAATCGGCACACACGGTCGCCGACCGTACAAGTGGACTCAAAAATGTGATGGCACTGAAGAGAATCGTCGGAATCCACACGCGGAGTTAAACATGAGCGTCGAAGTACGAGAGCCGTCTCGGTATCACCATGATGATGTTCCACCGCCTCCAAAGGGTCTTCGTCAAAAACCGGTGGCCATCATAAGCGGGCTGGTTCTCCTGCTCGCCCAACCCATCCACAAACATCGTCCGAATGCCGCCCTGGCGAGGACAAGTCGATTGTCTGTGACCAAGTTCCCCAAACAAAAAACATCACAGCCCGCCCATTTGTCGTTGTCCGGCCGAACCACCCATCGCCGCTGGTAGGTTTCCCAGGCCCGACGAGCCCGCACGACCACCCCCTATGATCGTTGTCGCTGCTGCTGTACCACCCAGGCCCGACGAGTCCGCCACCCCAGCACCTGCTCGGTTAGCCGAAGAGCCCGAAGCCGAAGACCCCACACCAATACCTGGTCGCGTCGGAAAAAAGGCCGATGAAGCCCGCCGAGCGAGCTGTTGTTCGACCATGAGGGCACGCTGGTGCGCGTCCGAAAGGGAGTCGGGCACGAACAAATTAATGATGTCCTGGATCGGCATGCGGAGCCCGCTGATGTAACGAGAAATTATTTGATCGTCCGTCTCCCGACTATCGATACGAGTCAGCAACTGATAAAATTCTTCGGTGTACTCGTCAACCGAACGGGTACCCTGCCTTAGTGTCTGAAACTTCTGAAATAGTACGTACATAATTGAAAGGCAAAAATTCGTTCTCCATATGCTTACGAAATTTAGCCCAGGAGTAGATTCGTGACTTACTCAGACGATGTCGCCTACCCTTGAGTTGCGTGAACCAAGCCGCAGCCCGGCCACGTAAGCGCGTCGCTACCAATCCCACACGACGCTCGTCTGGAACTTCGTTGAAGTCGAGGATCAACTCCATAGCCGTGATCCAATCGAGAAAATCCGTTGCGTCGAGCCCGCCTGAAAACTCCGGCACCTCCACCCGAAAGCTGGACTCCCAGCCGTTGTCGCCGCCCTCACCTGCGCGATGCTCGCCGCGAGGAACATCCCAGCCGTCGTCGTCCCGTTGTTCCGGTCGCCGCTCGTCGTGGTCATCTTCTCGTTGGTCCCGTCGGGCGCCGAAAGGGTTAACGTCCGATAGGGTGTCATCGTTGCTGTCATTGCCGTGCATCAGAGGTGGCGATCGATGGCGGGGCGCCCCGGCATGCCCTCTGCCGCCACGTCCTCCGCGGTGCCCCCCGCGACCGCCTCGGCCAGACTGATCGCGGTTCGTGTGTTCTCCTGACATCAAGGTGCGCATGGCCATACGGATTTCGTCGATACCCTCAGAAAGCCCCTCGACCCGGCGATCCACCCGTTCAATTTGGAAACCGAGGTCATCTGTACGGCGGTCCAAATCTTCGGTTGTCGTCTGTTCGTTTTGGCGGCATCTTGAACCGTACTGACTGCTGATACCAACTGATATAGGCAGAAACGTACGATGGGAAAAGAGAGTAAAAACTCAAGAGATAATCTTATTATTCATCAAAAACCGACTGGCAATGTTGGGAGACATCCAATATATAGATTCCTAATCAAAGTCCTTGACTTGGTAGGCAAGGCATTATTTTTCCTACTAAATAAAAGCAACAAATAAAAGGAAATAAAATAAATAACTCCTAAGCTCGTAAGCGATCATATTTTTCTAGATATTGCAACGCGATCTCGTCGCCATCAATTCCCTAGCTTCTTTATTGGCATCTGAATCTTGTTTGAAAAGTTTAAATTGAGTTTTTTCTTTTTATTTAATTTTTGAAATCTTTAGTTGATAAACAAACACTCAACCACTTTCAATTAGATTGTTTAAAGACTTATCATTTCTTGTGCTTGAATATACGTACAAAATAATCCAACCAGTCTTCCTTAAGATACGACCCAGTAAATTCTTTCGATCGACTCTGGTAAAAATCAATACAACAGTAGTCTCGTAAGTCTAAGGGGATGTGTATCGGAAGTTGTTTTCAATGTCGATTTGTGACAATACTATTATCGTTTCGTTACCAAAAAAAAAAAA